CCTTGACAGTGTCATTTACTAGGCAGGCAATGGGACAGTCACAAGCCTCCCGGTTTTCATCCAAAATATCTTAAATTGTGTTCCGAAGACGATTGAAGCTTTTACGGGTTTGGAACGACATTGGGGTAAGTGATTAATGACAACATTTTCATTTTGGGGTGGAGTAACCCTTTAAGCTATTGTATGGCTTCAGAAGTAACACAGAATAATACGCACAATCTTGGATTTGGATCGGCCGTCTCTGACCGATACCCGATCCAACAAAAAATGGCAGTATCGGAGCCGATACCCGATATGAATATCGGATCGGCGCATCCCTAAAAATGATAAGATACCAAGTCATAAAATTGAGATAAAAAGATTACGACTTCAAAATGATGATAAAATATTTAAATTATGACAATCTAAAGTCGAAATGACAAAATACGAAGTCACACTTAAGAGATGAAGTGTAAATTATGACATACCAAGTCATAATTATGATAAAATGTTGATAGTATAACAAAAAGTCAATTCTGACATAAAAAGTCAAAGTTTTGATCTCATAATGTTGTCCTTTTATCTCATAATTTTGTCTTATGTCATATTTTCGACTATTATGACTTTCCAAAGCAAGATTTTTTTTAATATGTGGCAGAATTGGGCTTTCATATGTTTCCGTCTCAGAGAGAGAAAAAAACTGTGACTTCATGTATCACAATATGATTTTGCAACTTTATTTCTCATAATTCTCTTAATTTTTGTTTCTTACAAAATGTCTAATTTTTAAATTTTTACTCTGAAATTATATAAAACAATAGAATAGTATATTGGCCAGGCCAGTTAACTGCTTCATATTTGGCTGTTTTGAGCATCATGATGAATATAACAAAATATTTGTATTATAAATTACTTGGTAGTTGTCGGTTGCGTCCCCCAGCAGTCCTCCAAAGGTGATTGCATTGGTGATGCAGCCCAGGTAAATGAAGAGCACCGCAGAGACGGACTGGATGTGGAAGCCCTCATAGAAGTCACTGAGAAACCCGGGCACTTTACGCTTGATGTCCAGCCACAGTCCTCCACAAAATCTACACAAACAGAAAGAGTCTCAGACGTCATGTAATTTCTATAACTAGAAGTTGAGCAGGTCCTAGATGCTACCGGCCAGTGAATTTCAGCTCCTCTCCAAGTTCATGTGGAGCCGGCAGGTCCTCGTCTTCTGCAGACGCTGCACCTCCTCCTGCATTCCCATTCGGCTGCCCCAGCTCATTCAGAGAGAAAACAGACTTCCTGCAAAAAAATAAAGAAATAACAGATATAACTTGTGCTACATCATTTAAAATAAAGCAATAAGCCCCAAGAAGCCGTGGTTTACAGTGAATTTATAACAGCTTGTTAGGCACGATGCGAAGCAGAGAATAAAGCCATTTTTGTTGGATCGGGTATCGGTCAGAGAGGGCCGATCCAAATCAGAGATTGTGCGTATTATTCTGTGTTACTTCTGAAGCCATACGATGTCAAGTCACCTTTATTTATATAGCGCTTTTAACAATACAGATTGTGTCAAAGCAACTGAACAGCATTAATTAGGAAAATAGTGTGTCAATAATGCAAAATGACAATAGTAAACACTCATTTTTCAGTTAAAGACAGTTCATCATTCAATTTAGTGATGTCATCATCCAGCTCAGTTCAGTTTAAATAGTATCTTTGCAATCATTTGCAATCAAGTCAACGATATCGCTGGAAATGAAGTGTCCCCAACTAAGCAAGCCAGAGGCGACAGCGGTAAGGAACCAAAACTCCATCGGTGACAGAATGGAGAAAAAACCTTGGGAGAAACCAGGCTCAGTCGGGGGGCCAGTTCTCCTCTGACCAGACGAACCAGCAGTTCAATTTCAGGCTGCAGCAAAGTCACATTGTGCAGAGGACTCATCTGGTTCCTGTGGTCTTGTCCCGGTGGTCGTCTGAGACAAGGTCTTTACAGGGGATCTGTATCTGGGGCTCATCTAGTTGTCCTGGTCTCCGCTGTCTTTCAGGGCTGTGGAGGTCCTTTCTAGGTGCTGATCCTAAAACCCTCTTAGCTGTTATAAATTCACTGTAAACCACAGCTTCATGGGACTTATTGCTTTTATAAAACAGTTATTTCAAATACGTAGTTAGGTTTCACAAAATAAAACAGAGCAAATAAAGTGTAATGATTATGGGTGCTCCGATTGATCGGCTACAGATAAATATCGGCCGATAATCACGTTGGGATGATTGGGTCTCTAAAAGGCCGATCTCAAATAACCGATCTCAAGCTCATGACGCTGCCGTGAGAGGTTTGGCATGACATGCAGCTGCACCGTCTCAGTCTCTGTCCGACGCGGGGTGAAATAATTATAATGCTATATTTCTTCATTAAATAACTTATAAAGTCATTTGAAAACCTTGTGTGAGACGTAATTCTTGCCAGTGTTTAACCATTCAGCGCTCGCACACTCTCCTGGAGACCGTGCGCTCATGTACACTCGCAGCACACACACATAACGCCAGGTTCACATCACTCCATTTGCAGTGCATACATGGTGCATATTTTTTCCACGCTCATGTTAACGGATTAAAGCGTTCACTGCACACGGCTGCGGTCCGGCAGTCTGTTTAGGAGCGGTGCGTCTGCAGCAGTGCAGAGATCGTTTCCGCATGCTGCAAGTGCTGAATTAAAGTAACAGCGCATTGTTTGCAGTAAATATGAACATGGATTGACACGAAAATTTAGTAATTACACCATAAATGCATATTATTAAAGCCTACTGTGTTTCACAGTCAACGCATATGGCTTTTTGGCTAGGTTTAAAGGGAAAGAGTACTTTTAGATAAAGATGGCAATAATAGATGGCACTGGTGGAGGTAGGAAAACAAAGTTCTTTATGAAGCGCAGGATTGCTTGTAATAAATAATAAAATACAAAAGAAAAGGCAGTAGAGCTGACTATTTCTGTCAAAGGTAAGTGTGTGATAACGTAAGAAAAGTAGTTTAAATGTTTTGCCAGTTGCTTGAGCAACTTAATATATAAATCTAGAAGTAAATGCAAAAGTAAAAAGCATTGAATAATGTGTTGCTTATATTTATTGTGTTTAAACATGTCTGTGAAAGATTGCATAACTGTACTGTGTAAAAAAAGAATTGCAATGCTGAAAAAGCATTAACAGCCACGGATCAGTAGCGGACTCTTCTGTGAAAGCACAGTCCGTGCTGCTTCTTCTCTCACAAGAGTCAACTAAGAGGGGTAATTCCCCCCCATTTTCAAAAATGAAATTCAGGCCCTGAATAAATGTCTAAAAATCCTGATTGGAGTATCACTATAAATAGTTATAAATTATAAAAAGAAGGCTTTAAAAAGATCGGTATCGGTGATCGGTATCGGCAGATACTGCTTTCTGTGATCGGTGATCAGCCTCAAAAATCCTGATCGGAGCACCCCTAGTAATGATATTAATAAAAACAGTATTCTTCCACCAAACAATGTAGTTCCTCAGAAACAGTTGGACAAAGTAAACAAAGGTGTATGTTTGTAGAGTAATTTACAACAGCTTCAGACAATCAGAATCAAGGACCGGAACTATCCGTCTTATAAGGTAATATTTAATATGACCGAATCAATACTAAATAATATTTTTTACTTGATTAAAGCCAGTTAATTTAGATGCTACCCCATGAAGTACATATTTTAGATTACAAAATATCTTTCACTCTATATTTTTAACAATGCAGTATATAAACATAATATTTCTATTATGTTGTTGCAAATATACAGTAAAGTTCAAACGTTTTGGGCCGTTTAGACATTTTAATGATTTTGAAAGAAGTCTCTTTTCCTCACAAAGGCATTTATTTGATGAAAAATACTATAGTTTATAATAACTGTTTGAAAATATTATTTATTCCAGTGATGTAAAGCTGAATTTTCAGCATCATTACTCCAGTCTTCAGTGTCACATGATCCTTCAGAAATCATTCTAATTAAGAAACATTTCTGATAATTATGCTGCAAAAAGTTGTGCTGCTGCTTCATATTTTTGTGGAAGCCATCATACATTTTTCAGGATTCTTTGATGAATAGAAAGTTCAGAAGAACAGCGTTATTATTTATTAAATCTTTTCTAACATTATAAATGCCTTTACTGTCACGTTTGATCAATTTAATGCATTCTTGATGAATTAAAAATATCCATTTCTTTTCAAAAATGTACTGACCCCAATCTTTTGAATGGTAGTGTAGATTCGTGATTTAATACCTCATCTCTGCTGAAGGCAGTTTCTTCGGGGGTTCAATGCGGATCTTGGGGTCCCATTCTCCAGGAGGAAGAACTATCACCTCATCCAAAAACTCATCAATCCCAGCAATCAAGTCCTCACGATCTCTGGCTTTATAGGCCACGTCGCTGAACAGCTAAATAGGGTGGCAGATACAGACAGATTTGCTGATAATACTGTGATGATACTTAATTTCGGGGTTCAGAACTGATGAGATTTCCTCTTACATCGTCAACCATGAGTGTAGCCATGGCGCGACCGATCTCATTGTAGGATTTGGTTTTGCCATTGGGACCGAGCAGCACAAAGAGAAACCTGGAAAACCCACATAGTCTTTCATTAAAACGTAAAGCAAATACACATTTAAAATGTATTCTTTCTCTTTCTGTAAAATGAATCAAAAATATAAAAATAGTTACTTGGAGTTAGTACAATGTCTAAAGTGGACTATCGAAATAAAGTGTAACCATTATTATTATTATTTGTTTATGTACAATCATAATTTGCTGGGGTCTCTGTGACTGAAATGTCTGGAATTTATTGTTTTTTTGCTTTACCTATGGTACAAGTGTTGTTTTGCCAGACTGTGTTGTGATGATCACAGCCAATAAACTTATACAGACTGTTTTGGGATGATCACCTTGTTGGCACAGGGACTTCAGTAAGGCCTCCTAGCGTTGCGGCTTGAGCCAGACGTACGAAGGCCACAAACGGCTTGTCTAGAAAATCCACCTCTCCCATGGCGCGACCGATCTCATTGTAGGATTTGGTTTTGCCATTGGGACCGAGCAGCACAAAGAGAAACCTGGAAAACCCACATAGTCTTTCATTAAAACGTAAAGCAAATACACATTTAAAATGTATTCTTTCTCTTTCTGTAAAATGAATCAAAAATATAAAAATAGTTACTTGGAGTTAGTACAATGTCTAAAGTGGACTATCGAAATAAAGTGTAACCATTATTATTATTATTTTTTTATGTACAATCATAATTTGCTGGGGTCTCTGTGACTGAAATGTCTGGAATTTATTGTTTTTTTGCTTTACCTATGGTACAAGTGTTGTTTTGCCAGACTGTGTTGTGAAACTAAAGGCTATTAGCTATTTAAACAGCCAATAAACTTATACAGACTGTTTTGGGATGATCACCTTGTTGGCACAGGGACTTCAGTAAGGCCTCCTAGCGTTGCGGCTTGAGCCAGACGTACGAAGGCCACAAACGGCTTGTCTAGAAAATCCACCTCTCCAATCAGCACATTAGACGCCTCGGCATCTCTGGGGATCTTCTTCATGAACTTATTCTTCAGCTGGTGGGTGGAATAACAATCCAGTTAGGGATCACGGATGAGTGGGTTTAATTAGTCCACATGGTCTGAAGTGCTGAGATGCGTAGGTCATGAAATTTCCATGTTGGAAAGAGTTCACACAACAGCCTCATTCATGATACCAGTATCAATATGAGCTCCATATTCAACGTCTGATGTGCCTTTTTTCCAATGGCAGATCAATAAAGCTATGCAATCACAGCAGGAAGACAGAGCATGCAAACGCACCCACGTGATCCAATGAAAACAGCCGCTTGGCAACGGTGGCCTCAAAGAACACGTGCATATGGAATGGTCTGTGCTTATGGTCAAAATCAGCTTTTAATCTTTTAATGCCACTTTCAGAGTCAATTCACTTTCTACAATGAATAAACAAGCTCCTTTCTCATGTCCCGACCCTGTTTTTCCTCTTGTCAGATCATTTGCTGCTGTTACGGTGTATATATATGTACATCAAAACTGACATTTGGACACTTAAGTCTCACTTAAAAGTGGAAATTCTCTCTTTTTCTCAGCTTTTCTCAGAACTAATTTCACATTCTTGCAATAACTTTACCTGGAGCACATGATTTTTAGTGGATGCATGAAGTCAATTCCTCATAGTTAACTTAACTCAAACTGATTAGCATGAAAAATGTGCTTGTGCTGTCTTTTTTAAAAAACAAATGACACTTGATATTGCCACTTTGACACATGCTCCTGTAAGGCATAAATGAAGCCTGTCGAGGGCAGTGAACACATGAAAGTGAGTCATGGGTGTCACTTTAAGCAGAACAAAAACTCATTAAAGTGGACTCAGAATTGGCTCACTTTGAAGTCTAGCAAGCCGAGAGCAGCGGCACCAGCAACCCTTCTTGCACAAACACTAAAGCCCTGCAATGGCCTCAAAATACTTTGGCAAAACTAAGCGCTTTACTGTGTATTTCATATTTTGCTTTTCATTATTGCGCCACATTAAAATGAAGAAAACATTACAAAAAGACAAACAACTGCTGGCGGCATTTGAGTGACTTATATGGAATATTACCCTGCATAAATTTGCCACATAACGCACATAAACAAGACCCCTGATGCAGTGCTTTTGTTTCTAAAATCATCCTGTTTACTCTTTGCTAATCAATAAATACATTTTCAGTGTATTTCAATATGTTCATGTGAAAAAACAGCAATGGTCCTGGAATACTAATGGAAAAATGCCGTACCTGGTCGGTGCTGGGTGTGACGCAAATATCATTCATACTGCGGCACTGAGAAGGATCTGAAAAGCACAGATGAAACACTTTGATTATCAATTTAATCAGTTTTGTTATTGTTAACTAAAACTAACACTAGTAAATCAATAGAAATAAAGGCGAAAAACAACAAAAATATAAAGTAGATAGTAAAAAAATACTTAAAACTAAAATAACATAAAATAACTTAAATCAAAAGTACTACAATTACTAAAACTAAAATGGAAATGAAAATAAATTAAATCTAAATAGAAATATACTAAATTACTAAAACTAAAATTAAAATAAAAATGGAAAATATAAAAATAAAATATAATATAGATAATACTAAAATAACACAAAATTAAATAGATTATTGATGTAATTTCTGTGTTGATGTGATTTCACTGTCAAAGGCAAAGCCAAATATATCATTATGCATCAGATTCAGATGGTAATGCCGTGTTAATTTGATATATACCATGTGATTTTATGATTACAAAATTCATGTGCCACACATCTTAAACTTCTAAATGTCACATTTGCTTGAGAAGTTTTGGAAAGTCCATATTTTATGCAATCATGTTTTTTAAAAGGTACTGCAAAAAAACATATTGCATTAGTATACTTAAAAAAATGACACATTAGTTTTAGTAACTTTTCTTTAGAGACAAGAAAAAACAATGTTGTTTTTCTGGCCTAAAGTACCCAGAGTACAGAAACAAATCATAACAAACACGAATGGAAAACCAAAGTCAAGACCTTTCTAATAATCTCTAATCCTCAGAACAATGAATGTTGCTCACCTTCTTGTGCAACTACAAGCAGTTAGTGTGTGGATGATGCTATGTGAGGTTAAAGGGACAAAACCTGAGAGGCTTATTAGAAATTCCAGAGATCCGGAAGTAGTTGTAGATAAATCTATGGAAGGGGGATGACACAGAAGGCCAGACTCACGCAGTTTGCTGAGGCTGCCGCTCTGACGAGCTCGCAGGTCCTCAGTGGAGCGATGGAAACCCGACCCAGAGCGAGAACTCGGGCTCGGACTGCGGTCTGATGCAGACCCGAGATCAGACACAGAGAATGACATGATCAAGATGGCAGGACAGGCAAAAGAGCAAAGTGGTCATAAGAAATGATTTGAAAAGACAAGTGTCAGAGAAAAGACAGGGAATTCTGGGAATACCACTGACTGTGGGACAGGTAAGATAGCGGACACTCACTCGAGGGGCTGGATTTTCCGATGTCCGCCAATGAACGGTGGATCGGCTTCTTGGTCTGGTGTCGGTGTTTCCGCAAGAGGACAAAACTGATCTTCTCACGGATCTCTGGAGCTATAAGACCCTCCTGCACCTGCTTTTCAATTATGTCATCTGTGAAAGGCAGAAAAAAACACATTTTTTAAATAAAACAGGAAAAACTCCTTGGAAATAAAAAAGCACACATTAGGTCTCAGCTGTTTTTCCTAGACAGCAATGAGAATATATGGATGGCTCCTGCTTCTCAGATGTTTCTCCTGAGGAAAAGACTCTTTTTTTCCCCTCAACAATATCTCAAACTGTGCTCAGATTTTCTAACATGATTCACACTGCCTTCTATATTAACAGCATAGATCTATGGTCTTACTGTATGTGAAGTAAGTCTCATTTGTTTCTGTTTTTATTTCCTCTCAGAAATTGTATGAGAAACATGTGAAACAAAGTTATTACTTCCATTAAACATATTTCAAAACCCTATTAAATATCTTTAGCTTTAAAAGAGCAACATAATTTCTACTACTGCATGCTATCATTTTCGAATCTGTACACTTTTTTTCTTTGCATCATGTGTGCTAGTTCGGATGGAAACTGTGTGGAATTCTGAGGAATATATTTAAATTTAGTAAAATATGTTAAACAGAGCTGGAAGCACTGCACTCTTATTAGTAGCTAGAAGCATAATCAAATTAGCCGATATAAAGTACTTTTCAAAAGTTTGAGCTTTGTAAGATTTTTTAAATGTTTTTTTTTAAGTTTTTAGACTTTTACATTTTGAAAGTCTCTTCGGCTCACCAACACTGCATTTATTTGATTAAAAAATAAAAACAGCAATATTGTGGAATATTATTACAATTTTCTATTTGAACATTTTAAAAATGTAATTTATATCTGTGATCAAAGCATCATTACTCCAGTCTTCAGTGTCACATGATCCTTCAGAAATCATTTTAATATGCTGATTTGCTGCATTCTAGGATGAACAGAAAGTTATTTTTTGGAAGAACAGCATTTATTTGAAATAGAAATCTATCATAAATGTCTTTACTGTCACTTTTGATCAGTTTAATGCAACCTTGCTGAATAACTGTATTGATTTCAAGTAAACATCTTTTAAATCGTAGCGTATGTTTATAAAATGGAATATTAATGATCAGAATTTGGGATCTTTGTGATTGATGGGTGTTCAAGCTCGAATTTTGTAGTTGTCACTGACCCACTATCTGCGGCAGTGAATAGCCCTCCAGGTCCAGCAGGATGCAGCCCGTCTGCAGGCAGGTGCGCAGCTCAAACAGGCTGTGCAGAGACAGCGTGGACACATGCGGTTTGCTCCACCTCTCTCCACCCTCCTCCACCTTCTCCTCAAACTTAACCCACCTGATGAAACACACAGAAGATGCGACTCTACAAATGTTACCTTGACAGTTTTTCTTCCCAAGAACCAGCAGATGGATGAAAAGCTTTTGGGTTTTTAAATGTGTAAAGGAAATGGCTGGGAATAATGGCAACAATCAATAAGTCCCCTTTTAAAGTAACACTTTACGATAAGGCTGCATTAGTTAACAGTTAATGCATGAAATAACAATGAACAATATAATTGTTACATTATTTATTTATATTTGCTAATGTTAGTTAATAAAATACAACTGTTCATTGTTAGTTCCATGTCAGGTCCATTAAATAATATTAACAGATACAACTAGATTTGAGTAATGTATAAGTAAATGTAGAAATTGACATGAACTTTTGAAGATTAATAAATTCTTTATAAGTATTTTTTATTGTTCATGTCAACTAATGTTCCAAATGGATCCTTATTGTAAAGTGTTACTGTGTGTTTTTGTTACTGTACCTTTAAGATATGCAGAATGTAATACGGAAGATATCTCTGATAAGCTCTTCTTTGCATGCCAAATAAGTAACATGTCTACAGAAATGCAAACTGATGAATAGATGTTAATATATATATATATGTGAATGTCAGGAGGGCCAGATAAATGACACAATATAACTTCTAAAGTATAATATTCTTCTGTTATGATTATTGTCGGCTCTTTGACAAATTGCTTTTGCTGCTCTTTTGAAAGTAGCTTTGGATAAAATGTAAATGTAATAAATGAATACTGGAAGTCATTAAGCTCAACTCAACTCTGACATTAAGGCACAAAGCTAATAGGATTGGATGAGTCTCTCAACTCATACCTTTTCATGTTTTAAATAATGCCACAAGGGCTTCAGTGTGTGTGTGTGTGTGTGTCTCACCTGGCCGACTCTTTCCACTCCATCTCCCCACCCTCGTGCTGCAGTGTGTCCATCTCAGTGAAGAGGGTGGGTGTGGGCTCATCTTCCTCTCTGAGGATGTGGCGTAGTCTCTCTGCAGCAGGAGACACTGTCACACACACACACACACACACACACACTTAAGATACTACAAAGACATACATTTACCTTAAAATGCAAGAGTAATATTTGTAGTATATACTGTATATATATATATATATATATATATATATATATAGTATGTGAGCCAAAGCAACTAAGCAAAACAAGCATCAGAAGTTAGTTTACATGACAATACATCGAGTCTTGTGGGTGAGGGAAGTTTGAATCTTGCTTGCAACCGTTCCTGATTTGACCTCTCCCTCATTTTCCACATCACTTCATGTATTCTCTCTACTATGCTATAAATAATAAACTAGATTTTTCAATGTATAAACTTGATGTCAGAAGTTTAGGTTGATGTGGATGGTTCTTAACCTCTTGCTATCCACTTGCTAGGCTGTTCTGTGTGGTTGCTAGGGCATTGCTAGATACTTGCTTACTCCAAATCAAAAGAGACCTTGTTATCTAATATGTAAACGACCATAAAGTTTTGGGTTGGTAAGATATGTTGGTGTTTTTGAAAGAAGTCTGTTATGCTCATCAAGGCTGCAGTGTTATTTTAGTATCATTAAGGGTGTATTCACACCAGGAAAGTCCGATAGTTCGCTTGCTTTGGTCTGTACCAAATATAATTGAGATTTTTTTAGTTTGGTGCGGTTCGCTTTCACACTGCCCTTTTTGAACCAGAAACTGTAAACAAAACCACACGTGTGCTTAAGGTCATCCATTCATTGGTTCATCCATTCAACCGTACCAGAGTTCGTTTGGAAGCAGACCGAGACCACCTCTTCAGCTGGGTCTCGGTACGGTTGTTTGGTCTGCACCCGAGTGCGATTGCTGTATTCACACCTGCCCGTGTGATCCGCACCAAAGAGGGAAACGACCTTGAGTTCGATTCAATCGAACCAAACAAGACAGGTGTGGATACACCCTAAGATATTATAATAGTTTTTATTCATATTTTATATTGGCAATTTTCATTATGATTTTAGTTTTATGCTTTTCTAACTTTTATAGTTTTATATCTTGTTTTTTTATGTCTATATAGTTTTTTTTATTATTTATTTGAGTTTTAGTTGATTTAGTATCAAGTTAAACTAAATTAAAATGAGAAATGTTGCCTTGACAACTGTTTGAAATTAAATAAGAATTAAAATACATTTTTGTAACTTTTTTGTAAAATGAAATGTTTTGTCAAAAAACAAACAAAAAAAAAACCATGATACAATTTCAGGATTCTTCAGGATTGTTTTATATAAATGATATAAATGAATAAACTGATTATAAATGCCTTTCCTGTCACTTTTCTGATCAGTTTAACGCATCCTTGCTGAATAAATCCTTGGTTTTTATTCTAGTAGATGTTTGCATGATATCAGGGTGTTGCTAAGGTGCGGAGGGTGGTTGCTAGGTATGACTTGGGTCCCTCTTTCAATATAAAGGTGCTTAATTTTTTTCACCTGTTGAATAAACTGCAATGGGAAAATCATATAACTTTGAAAAGAAACTGCAGATGCTTTTATCCAACAAGCAGCATTGCAAGCAATTAAGCATGAAAAAGTAAGCAAATAAAAATGCAAACGTGTCCATGCAAAAGAGGTCAATAATAATAGCCTGTAGCTCAACACCTCCTAATTGAACAAACGGGTTTGATTCTTCGCATTATAAACAGAAGCCTGTATGACGTATAAGTCTGGGTGTTATGTTTTGCCTTCGGCTCAGGCTGAATTGACCCTGTGCTGACCCGCTTGAAATGAAATCTGAATATGACAGAGCAGGACCATTATAATGTACGGCTCCCGAGGCCATGATCCCATCATCATTCTTCGCCAAACATGTGTCTCATCAAAACGAGAATCTGATCTCAAAAGCCTGAGCTTTCAGATCTGAGAATGCTCTGAATTCAGCTTGAGTCACGCGTCAGCCGATAACGCGACATATAAAGTCAGAACCAAATCAACAATATTGTTTAAAGATAAATATCTTAACAATCTTCCTTTGAAGAGAAATATCTTGAAATGTTGAAATGTGCATACATCTCTTTGTAAAGCAGGTTGACATCTGAAAGCATTTCAAAAGAATTTGTTTGGTAGATTAATTTAGAATAACCATGTGACAGTGGCTTATTCTAATCTGATGCACATTGCCAGAATCAAAATCTAACATCAACAGACCTGTAGTGCTTTAATCAAATTCATCCACACTATATTTTAGGTAAAGTAAACTTACATAAGCTTCAGTGTGGGCTACTAAAACCTGTTCACAATCTAATGTCATGTGCATTAACTCTGATTATTCAAAACTAATGGTGCAAGTCGGTGTTTGTGAGCCCATGCATGACAATCTTGTTGTGACCTTCCTCTCGATCTCCGGCTTTTCTTCGGGATTATTAGCACGTGGGTGTTTTTCTCCATGTAATCCTTCTAATCCTGAAGTAACAATCACAAATACGTGTGGTTGTAGAATGCCAATACAGAGTAGAGTACAACGCAGCGGCTTATTTATAGCTCACGCACTTGAATCACTTTGGTTAATCAATTAAACTGATGGAGTCTCGACATATTAGAAGGTGGTTGTTGATATATGCATTGCCATAGGATTAATCAACAATGCAGTCATATCTTTAGTTGCTGACCTTCAAAAATGCACTGAATAGAGAGGAAAGGTGAGTAATTCGCTTCAGACTGAACACTGATGAACTCATTTTTAAATCCTGATTTCTTCTTCTTCAGAAAAAAAACGTACAGGAATATCCCTTTCCTGAAATGCATTCTTGGGGATTTTGATGTATTTCACAATTTAATCATTGCATTTAAATCATGACAATATGGACATGGCAACGAGTGAATCGCATTAAACTTGATGTGTGGCTCATATAGCATATTAAAGAAAAAAGTAAATAAGAAGAATACATTCTATTTTGTTTAAAAAAAGGGCCTATTTTAGGACCATTCATTTTTTTGCACGGCGACGTTATGTCATTTAAGAAAATTTTCCCTCAAATTCTTGTTATTGTAATGCAAATATTTAACTTCTGAATTTGTCTGTAATTGGCATTATTCTCAAATATTTTTGTTTTTGTGTTGTTATATAGATTTTCTTAATATAATAACAGTAAACAAATTACTATTATAAATCATTTAAAAAAAAAGGAAGTCTTACCATTTAAATCGTTTTTATTTTTACATTAGAGAAAAGTGAATTTTACGGGTAAATGTGATTCAAATTTTGCTGCAAATTTTTAAATATATAACAGTAAACAAATTACTATTATACAGTAATTTATTTTAAAAAAAAATTTTGTTTCATTTTGTTTGGTGTTTTTATAATTTTTTTAATTCTGTAACAGTGGACAAATTACTGTTATACAATTAAAAAAAGAAAATATGCAAAAAGGAGGTACAATAAGTGCTATCCTGGTGTAGTTTACCATTTAAATAATGTATACTTATTTATTTAATTAATTACAGAAAAGTGAACTTTGCAGGTAAATGTGCTCAAATGTCACAAGGGTGCAAAATATTTTTAAACTTACAATCATCAACCAACCTTGTGAATTCAGTGATGGCTGATCAGCAAAAAACTTGCTAATAGATTAATAGACTCAGCAAAGTCATGATCTCGCAGTGTCAAACTCCAAACCAGCTTGGACCTCAATTCCAGAGAGAAACTCTCCAGGACAAAGCTAATAGGAAGAACTGGCAGCAAAAGTAAGGAAATAAGACAATGATGGCGTTTGTGACTGTACCTGTGCAGCTGCTCAGTTGAGTGCTCAGAGAGCCCAGACTAGATGCCAATGACTGTATCGAGTCCTGAATACTAAAGGACCCCGTCAACCTACGCTGTTCCAGCTCCATCCTTCAGAAAGTCCAACGTTTAAAGTTTCATTGAAAGAAAGAGATCTACAAATACAATTCTGAAATGTCCACTCGCACTTCTTTTTGATTTCCGCCTCTTTGTGATGAACCTGTTAACTGAGCTCGTCCCTCATTATAGATGCACCTTCCCTATGAGCGTGTCCTCTTGTTCTTGAACTTTTCTTCTCAGCAGTGTTGCTCTTTCCCGAAAACTAAAGCATGGCAAAGTGCCACACGCATGAAAGGCCCAACAAGTGTTTTTCTCCCCCTCCAGCTTTGCTGATCCCTCCCTTTCTCGCTCTCTCACTCTCACAGAATTTAAGCCTAAAACCTCAGATCAATCATTCTCAAGGATGCTTGTTATTTTCTAACAAACCTAAAGCATGAACTATATCAGGGCTATTAAAGTGAACTAAAACCACAAAAAACATGTTTGTTACGTGATATAAAATATAGGCTAAATGTTAATTAAAATAAATAAAATATAAAAACGTAACTTTCATTTCAGCTAGTTGCCAAAGCAACATTTCTCATTTACAAAAACTGAAATAAAATGAATCATAATTACTAATAAAAAATTTTTTTTCTAAAACTAAGTAAAATGTACATAAAAACGGACAATAAAATTTAAAAAGTTAAAAACGTATTCAAAATATTAACCCTCATTTTGTGTTTTGATAATTTTTTTATCTTTCTTATCGCATTTGACAAACTTCCTGAGTTTGCTCACACAGTATAGCAACTTACCCCCCAAAAATTTTTATAATTTTTGTACTTTTTGGGGATTTTTTCCCTTCTTGTGATACTTGTGGTGTTCCCAGTCAAAAATGACCCTCATACAAAAATTGCATATAAATCTCTCCTTATGCTATATTATTATTTATTACCAAATCTCGGATTCAACCTTTTTATCAGCTTGTTTTCTTTCAGTTAGCACAGGTTTTGTATTTCTTTTTGGAACTGATCGTAGGCACCTCAGTTATTGAGTGAACATTACCAAAATCATCACTCCAAAGATGCATAAGCTTCTATCAATGAGAGAAATACAAAACCTGTGCTACTTGAAAGAAAAGAAGTTGACAAAAAGATTGAATTCAAGATTTCATGATTATATGTGACCCTGGACCACAAAACCAGCTTTAAGTCACTGGGGTATATTTGTAGCAATAGCCAAAAATACATTTTATGGGTCAAAATGATCGATTTTTCTTTTATGCCAAAAATCATTAGGATATTAAGATCATGTTCCATGAAGATATTTTGTAAATTTCCTACTGTAAATATATTAAAACTTAATTTTTGATTAGTAATATGCATTGCTAAGAACTTCATTTGGACAACTTTAAAGGTGATTTTCTCAATATTTTGATTTTTTTTGCACCCTTAGATTCCAGATTTTCATATAGTTGTATCTCGGCCAAATATTGTCCTATCCTAACACACCATACATCAATGGAAAGATTATTTATTCAGCTTTCATATGATGTATAAATCTCAATTTCGAAAAATTGACCCTTATGACATAAGATATTTACAAGCAACTTTTCAAAAAGTTAGTCATTTAAATGAGAACACCAAAATAGGATGTTCAGTACAACACAAGGGTTAAAAAATAACCAACAGAATCTCAATGATTCTAAATAACACTGAACTGTATTTTGTAACCAATCTACTTAGCAGAACTTTTTTGTTACGTCAGCATAATAATATCAGGTTAAGAGAAGCTCACTGGTGGAGTTGATGTCAGAGAGCTCGTTTGAATCCTGCTCTCCTTCATCTGGGTCACATGGTTCCTCTTGATTCTGGTGTTCATGGCGGTTATGGTGTCTCTCCCGGCCGTCCCGATCGTGGGAATGCCGTGACGTGTGTCTGTGATGTCTGCACTTCCTTCTGTATTCCCGTGGCACTGGAACGCCAATATAGACGGATTCTAAAACCAAAGAATAAAAAATAGGTGAGTTTCTATTTTATAGTGTTTATGGCATAATTCACACTCCAGTATGATTCCTTTCCAGCGAATCAGTTTCTTCAGTTTTTTTTAAAGTTTAGATAAGTCATTGTATTTCAATCCGTGTTATTTTAATATAATTGAGATACCATTATAGTTTTTTATTTTTATTTGTTAAATATATCTATATATATCTATATTTTATTTCACAACTATTTTAGCACATCAAGTTAACTAAACAAAAACTAAACAAAAATGAGAAATGTTGCTGAAATAAAATATGTTTATAGTAGTGCTGTCAATCGATTAATCGCGATTAATCGCATCCAAAATAAAAGTTTTTGTTCACATAATATATGTATGTATACTGTGTATATTTATTATGTATATATAAATACAAACACATGCATGTATATATTTAAGAAAAATATGTTATGTTTATGTATTAAATATATTTATGTATAATATAAAATATAAGAATATAAATATATAAATGTATATACATGTAAATATTTTCAAAATATATACTGTATGTGTATGTATTTATATATACATAATAAATATACACAGTATACATACATATATATTATGTAAACAAAAACTTGTATTTTGGATGCGAATAATCGCGATTAATCGTTTGACAGCATTAGTTTATAAATATATTTTATTTTATTTCCGCTAAAGTTTATTTTATTTCCAGTAATGACATTTTTGTTGATATTAGTTGTAGTCAACTATAATAACCCTGATTAAAAAATACATTTACAGTATCTTATACATTTATTTTTATTTACACGTAATATGTGTTATATATACATGTTTATATGTTATATGTGCTTCTGTGATATATTAACATTGGAAAAAAATTTATTAAAAAATTATAAATATTATTTACGTAAGTGTACGTGGAAAAACATTCCAATAGTAAATAATGAAATTATTTTTAGCCTATTATTAACCTTTTTGTGTCACGACTAGCTGTGTAAACAAGCACGAAGGCGATCAATAAACAGTCTTTAATAATCCAAAGAGGGTAAATCCAGCAGACGTACAGGCAATCCATAAACATCTACACAGAGACGAGACCCGACAATGAACACACAAGGAGAACAGAACAAGTAGTGACGATAACGAGACAAACCTGGACATAATCAATGAGTAACCATGACAACTAACAAGGACCGGGACACAGAGCAAAACACAAACAGAGTCCATGCTGGTGTGACATTTTATACTCTCCAGTTTCTTTATCAAAAAGTGATTTGTAGGTCAGGTACATCAGCCAAGATCCTCTCACCATCCTCATCCTCATCGTGTCTGCTGCGGTGACCACTTCTCCTGCTGCCATGCCAGTCATGGTCCATCCTGACAGGAAAAAGGCAGAATAAAAGACTATTATTAAGACGCTACAGGCAAAAACACTGCATCAGTTTTGAGATTTTGGCATATTTTGCATCCTTAACGTTTCATCTTTCAGACTAGTGGAAAGAAAACATCTAAAAGATACATTTAAGTGTTTATTTTTATTTTTGACACTTTATCTATTTGTGTCCGTAGATTTAAATTACAATTCATATCTTTAAAGGTCGTTTTCTCAAAATGAGTTTTTTCTCCTGCACTGAGACTGAAATCTCCACTTCAGCAGCACATACAACAAACTTTACAGTTTTATTTCTATCTATATTCTGAAGGGTTTACAGAGGGGTTTCTTCATATATAATTCATCTAGGGATGCTACAATAGAGATTAAGCGCAACAGACTTCTGTATTCTGTTAAATGGGTCTCGTCGCTTCCGATTCAAGCGTTTGGCATATGATTAGTTAAATATGAAGCAGTTTACTAAAGATTTAAAAAGCGATTTTTACAGCAAATTAACAACAAAAAAACTCCTGCACACTTCTGTACACTGGAGAAAGACGTGGAGAAAATCCACATATGCATCACAGAAATAATAGAACTTATGCCATTCCAGGAAATCCCTAATATGGACAAAGGCATCCAGCTATCGCTGTAACTGAATAAAAAGATTCAAAATAAAAGAATAAAAGAAAAGAATAAAAAGAAAACATTTTGAATGACGAAACATGAAGACAGTAAACACTGGACTGTGACAATATATGGGTTATCCGTGTTCTTCGAGCCATCTCGGGTGTTTTCATAATAATTAAGAATATTTATAATCCACTGCTAATCGGCAAGATTAGAAACGCTTTTCATTACAAGTCATTACAAGGGAAGATGTTTCAAATGCACGTTATAAGTGTGGAGTTTCCTCATCTCATAACATGAACTCACGGGCACAAACAAACTGCAAAGGCGGAGAAATAAAACACAGAATTTATTTTAACGCAAAACTGAACCCCCACCCCGACGCAATTCACAAGTGCATATTGAAACGTGGATGCCAAACCGAATGATTCAATATCATATTGAGTATGTGGCATCCCTAAATTAATCTAATTTAGCCTATATAAGATATTTTTTTCTAAAAACAGAATCCAAAATTCCCTATGCAAAAAATGTCAACAAAATCAATCAAGAAACTTGAACCCAGCTTTATCCAAGGTTCAGATTTCTGTTCTAGAAATGTAGGCAAAATCATGCATATTTAATTAGATAATGCAAAATTTGCATATTTAAACATAACATTTCAGAAAACTTGTAATACAGAAGAAATTTATTAATGCACTGTGATTATTCAGCTGGGGAAGCATGGTTATATTTATTAACATTTAGGAGGCTTTGCATATATTTATTTTAGCCTAACTGAAGTTAGAAAAGCACTTTGCAGATTATATCACTTATACACATCTAATTAGTGCTCATCAGTTATTTGTTTTTGGTAGTTATAGCTGGCGGTGGTTTTAATGCCTCCAGCATGGTCACAGGATACGTCTCAGTGTCTCAGCGTCAGTGACCATAAGAGGACCTGAAAGAACCCCGCGCAATGTGGCACGTGGACCTGCAGCTTCATTAGATCAATGTCTCTGTCGCTGGCGGGAAAGGAAAACCCAATGCATCAGCATAATCATGGGAGGATTTTCACTATGCACACACACACACACACACACACACACACACACACGGCTCTTTTATTTCACACACTGTCACATAATCGATCGATTCATACATTCAGAAGCAGAAGCCGCAGCACAGTGCTCACAACCACTAAAACAAAACAAAAAATCACATTTGTTAACTGAAATAAAGCTGAAGTAAAATAAAATATGAATATTCGAGAAAAAAAATAAAAATTTTTGCCTAAACAAAAATTAGAAATGTTGCTTTGGCCAATAACTTAGATTTAAACTGAACCACTAAAATATGAAAATAAAAGCAAATTCAACTTAATTCAAAATAGTAATACTGTAATAATACAATACCAAAATAGCACTGCTCGCAACACACATCTCACAGGTTCAAATCCAGCCCTCATTCCTCAATCTTTTTCCAATAACAGTGAAAAAGTCCATAAATGACTCAAATTAAACTGAAGACTTTGTAAAAATGTAAACAGATAGTCTCGCTCTAAATTTACAGCATTGGTTGCTTTACTCCAAGTCTTTTGGAGCTATTTGATATTTGTATGAGGAACAGCCTGAAACTGATCTCATATTCAATGGAAATCTCCTTCCTGCATTCATGAGAGGAGCAACTATATTTGATTCATGAATAATTCATCATTTTTCAATGAATCACTTGATTCAGTTAACAAAAATGATTTGTTCTTGAGTTACACACTTCAGCTTTAACAAAACTTTGCTCAAATCTTGACAATTACCCCCCAAAAATGTTTTTTTTTTCAATGATTCTTTGGAAACTGCCAAAACCGGGGAAGTCACCGGGAATGAATTGAATGAACAATTTACACAGAATAATTTTTTATGCTTGTGTTTCATATAAACCAGTGTTTTCAAATTTCATTTTAATCTGAGTTTAATTTTTAACAATTGGTTTTCACCATTTTTTTCTTTTAAATACTAGTGGTTAATCACATAAATTTTTATTTCAGTTTGAGTTATTTCCGGTTAGTAATTTTAATGCTTAAACTTATTTCAGTTACATGCCAAGGCAACATTTCTAATTTTGTTTTACATGTTTACAAGTTTTACAAGTAATATTTATTTAGTTTTATTTTTTCATTACCGATAATAATCTATTTAAACTTCACTGTTGCGTGAAACGAATACAATTCTGACAGTAATATAATGCCAAGCTAATTACACAATCATACTGTTGGCCACCCAAGTAATGTAAGACAGCATGTAATACAGCAATTAACAGTGTGTAATGATCAGTGTCCTTCACACCAAATGGAGAACAACTCCAGGACAAACCGATAATCAGCGTCCACACTAGCGAACGATTTCGTCCGTTTATTCTAAGTGCACGCTCGTCTGCCGCTTTAGATTCTCGAGCTCGTTACAGCAGGATGGATTCTGATTGGCTGTCAATTTTTTATCGTTCATCAGCTGGAGAAAAATCGTTTTGAAAGTGATTCCAACGATATCGTTTCTCTGTGCCTTTATCGTTATAGTTGTGGTGTGGACTCTGCTATTCTTTAATATTGAGAACGATTTTTAGAACTATGTCTTTATCGTTATCTCTATAGTTATCGTCCTTGGTGTGAACGGGCCTTTACAGTTCTGAATGTTTTTTAGAGCATCAAAAGACCCATTTCGTCTTACAGCTAAAGTGTGTAATTTTTTTACCATGTTGAAATCCTATCCTAGTTTGATATACAGAGACAATAATAAGCATAATACTATAAATAAAGTATTTGTTGGTGGATGAATGGCAGAAATGTTCTGGAAACCTGTTTGAAAACAATAAAACATTTTTTTTTGCAATTCCACTGGGTGGCACTAGACTAGAGGTTCAGAAAATACACACTTTCTATATATATCTATATATATATATATATATATATATATATATATATATATATATATATATATATATATACACACATATACATATACTTTTTGTAAAGACACTTTAAATAATATATTTAAATGTCATTTTATTTTTATAAATCAAAACGTTCGATCAATCGCTATTTTTTTATTTTTTATTTTATAGAGGAGATCTTGGATCTACAGTAAACAGTAACTGTTTAATATTAACCAATTTTCTAAAGAAATCTCATACTACTTTTGCAAAAACCTACCAGTGAAAAACCACCAGCTCTTACCTTGTAACAGAAGTGGTGTTGAGATGACCGGTGTGATGAGCATCTGTTTGTGACAGATGAGATCAGGACTTGTTTCTCTGTACAGTATCAGAAACATAGAAAAAGCCGATCACAATGATTGTCTGTCTGTCTTGTGATTGGCTGAACAGTCAAACGCTTCGGGTCATAAGCACAGTAAGGTGGCGGGAAACATGACATGAAGTTCGTTAAATGACATGCACACAGCATGCTCACTCTGTACACCTTGCTGGCTGTTTTGTAATTGACCACGCTATTGTCTGACAGTTCAACATGAATCCAGATTCACAGTGATGCAGTACTTTATCCATAGGCCTACATGTTAAATGCATATTACAAGAAAACTATGTTGCACTATATTGCACATGCACAGAACAGGTTATAATCTAGTATACAGAGACTCCACAACGTATTTGGACACAAAAACATCTGAACCTCCAGCTTGAGTTTCATCAAAATCAATGTATGCTGGAGTTCAAACCAAGTGGCATCTGCAAAGAACTACACTAACAATCTCAATACATTTTCTCTTTCATTTTGAACATTATATCTACTCTAAAACTTATTTTTGTCAAATGTTTTGCTAGAAAAGGATGGTTGTGCAAGTGAGATCTTTGATCTAAACAAACAAAATTAATAAATTAGTAAAAACAATAAATTAATTAATAAATACACGAGTAATTAATTAAATAAAAATAAATAAATAAATGAAAAAAAAAATATATTCCGTGGCTTATATATTTAAAAGTACCTAAAGACCTTTTGGGGCCACAACATATTATTTCACAATTAATAGATTTTGGTGTCTATTAGAATTGCTGTTTGCATAATGTTTAAGTACATTTTTAAATAACCAGCTCAGCTGAGAGTGTAAATTATCCACAAGATGGCACCACAAACTCACCTGATTGCAATCCCAGTTTGTCTTTAACAAGGTTGTGCTTTTCAGCATTTCAGATCATAATATCACAGACTCACATGATCATGTGTCATGATATCATGACAAAAACCTATTATTTTTGTAGTAAACTGATGTGAGGCTGTGTAGAAAACATCTACGCTTCATCTCTGAGACTTGAGGACTGATGGCTTTTAATTTCAGACAACAGAAAGGAAAAAAATAAAGAATCGATATCCTTCATTTAAAAATATGTGGCATTTCTCATGTGTAAATTACTCTGAATAAAAACATCTGTTAAATGGGTGTAAAATGTAAATATAATGAGCAACATAATGCTTCATCTCATTACAACAACAAAAAATCCATATGCTAAGGAATAATTCATATGATGAGAAGACTTCTGAATGAATATTACTAACGAACGACAAGCAGACATCAGAGCATATGCTCTCTATAATATAAACCTGACATCCTAATGCTGGGAATATTTACATATAAATAACTAGATTGAAATGATCTAAAGTGTGATGTTTCCCCAGCTAACAAAATATGTTCCGAGAATGTTTTGTTAACGTTACCATTAAGTTTTAAATGTGTTACTTCTGAATGTTTTCTCTGTTGTCACTTTAGCAAAATGAGTCATAGTTGTTCAAGTATGAGGAATAGTACTAGTGATGCATGATAATCTTCAATGATTCTTCTCATAATTAAGATGGAGATTGAAGCAGACATGCACAGTGAAAGATGGAAGGCTTGTGTTCTTGCTGTGCTGTAGACAAACTTTTGCTCTGACGGATCATAATAAATTAAAAACTTGTAAGCCTGAGATGTCCTTGTGGATAAGCAGAGGATAAGACTCCTCATCCAAATGGATGTGGGCTAGTTCTACGCTTCTTCAAAGAAGGAAGTCTCCATAAAATCCTCTCACTTGAGACATAATAATCAGGGATTTAGAGGTGAACTTAAGCCAGAGTCAGATTCACTGCATGATGAGTGCGGGATAATGAGTATTTGGCTCTTTCAATTGGGTCTGTGAACACACTAGAGATACTCGAAGGGGGATTTTTATTCCGTCAACACACATGCATGCTCACACCTCTGCAGGTCAAACTGAGAAGATGGATCGCTTAAGACAGACCGCCAACTTTCCCAAACCATGAGCCTTGTAGAAACTGAGCATTTTTGTGTTTTATCTATTTAGGCGAATCAGTGTTGGGGAAAGTTACTTTTAAAAGTAATGCATTACAACATTGCAATTACAATTACATTACTTAGTTACTTTTTATGGAAAGTAATGCGTTACGTTACTTTTGCGTTACTTTTTAAATATGAGCAGGGCTTGATTGCTTTTAATATAAGAAGTTCTATTTATAGCAAATGTAAAAGCCCTTTCACACCAAAAAGTGTAATGAATAAACGTCAGGCTGAAGCAAAAGTAAATTCACGTCTCTGTACAGTAGAAGACAGGAGAAGAAGGTTCAACACTATTCAGCAATAAAAAAAACTATGAAGCACAATTGTAAGTTTATCTAAAGTCATTTTTGCTTATTAGTATGGTTGAACTGGATCATCAAAGGTCAGCAGCAAAGACATTGGTTAATAAAATGGGATTAGATACATTTGTGTTATTTAACATATTTAATGATTGTAGGTTTGAGTCATATTCTGAGTTTGCATTTCACTGTTTTAATTCATTTTGATGAATACTAAATCAGTTTTTTTGTGAGTGGGATGAATTAATGCACATTCACATTTAGTCTAGAACTACAGTAACATCATGTTCACACAGCGCACACAACGCCTCTGTACTTCCGATTTCTCCCAATATGGGGACAGGAGACTTGCCAGTCAATAAATGGGGAAACAAAGTAACTGGCGTTACTTATTTGAAAAAGTAACTCGGATATTTTCTTGTGAATTAAAAAGTAATGTGTTACTTTAGTAGTTACTTGAAAAAAGGAATCTGATTACGTAACTCGCGTTACTTGTAATGCGTTACCCCCAACACTGAAGCTAATTCAATAATGCTTTCAGCTACCAGTGAGAGTGTAGCACTCTAAAATATTGTAACATATTTAAATCCATTTCCCCCCCAGAATCAGTTTTGTGGCATACCTGAAACTTTTGGCTCATCATTTTCACCAGCAAGCCAAGGGATGTGTTGTGAAATCTTGTTGGCACATTAAATCAGCCATCTTTTATCTGTCTCGCCAGCAGCAGATCTGAAGACCTCTAATTTCAACCACGATCAGAGAACTGAAAGAAAGCAGGACCTGTTTAGGAGGGATCTGGCACACAGCCGAGAGCTCCATAATGAAAGCTCAGTGGAAGTGCTACATCATACGGGGTCCAAAAGTCTAAGAACACTAACGAAAATGCATCTGTTTTGCATTTTAATTTGAAATTTAATACAATTATGTTTTCATTAGAAATTCTATTTCAGAATGTTCCAAAGAGCATCTCGTGCTTCAAAGAGCGACCTGATTAATGTCACTAATTTACTTTTGACCTTCAAATACTACAGTGCAATTGAAAAGTTTGGGTTGGTAAGATTTCTTGAAAGAAGTCTCTTACTTAAAGGGGTCCTATTATGCTTTTTCACTTTTCAGCTTTAGTTAGTCTGTAATGTTGCTGTTTGAGCATAAAAAAAGATCTGCAATCCGAAATATTAATATAATTTAAAATAATTGTTTTCTATTCAAATATATTTTAAAATGTAATTTATTCTTGTGATGCAAAGCTGAATTTTCAGCATCATTACTCCAGTCTTCAGTGTCACATGATCCTTCAGAAATCATTCTAATATGCTGATTGATAATAACATTTCTTATTATTATCAATTTTAGAAACAGTAGTGCTGCTTAATATTTTTGTGGAAACTGTGATACATTTTTTCAAGCATTTTTTTGAAAATGAAATCATTTGTAAATGATAAACTGTCACTTTTTTTCATCAATTTAATAAGTCCTTGCTGAATAAAAGTATTCAATTCATACTACCCACAACTTTGCATGGTAGTGTATTTCTTCTTTATTTTACATCACACAATTTCTTTGCTTTAAGCTTTTCAAAATCCTAAAACCAGATTTTTGAATCCCAGATTTTCAATGTGGTTTCAGACTTTTAAACTCAACTGTATCATCTCAGGCACAGTCAAAGAGAGAGAGAACATTCAAAAAAATTATTCAGATTCACTATATATAGTGACAATAAACAGTGCAATATATTGGTTTTGTGCAAAATTAAAAGAATTTAAAATTTAATTAATGATAATCATACTTTTGAAGCCTCCATCAAAAAGTAATTTCGGTTCCGTTTTGCTCTTCTTTCCGCATTTCTAGAAATGATTACTGAAATGAATAAGTCAACAAAACCATGGCTGACTGAACAACATATTACCCAAGTCTAATTTACATTTAGTTTATCATAAAAGTTCCCTGCTTCTCCTCCTAGCAAGTGTTGAGAGCTGCTTGTACACTGCACTTAACGTTTCATTAGGAATCAAATGACAACTTGATGCTAACATTATGAATATTACAGAGTTAATGATTTCATGGCAAATCTCTGTTTAGCAGGCAATTATGAAGACGCCATTCAAATACTTTAGCTTTTTAACAACTATGTTTAGCACAGTTAGAAGAACACGGCAAAATAAATAAATAAAACACACTATATGTTTCTGCAACTAAGCTGAAGAACACTTTAACAAACCCCAGGGAACAGCCTATCACTGTTCATTTTTTTATTTATTGTGTATGTATGTGAGAAGAATGCCAGTAATTGTATCTGTTTGTTCACTCACTGAAACAGACATGATTGCATTGCTCCACTCTTCAAGAGATCACTCTTTAAATCCAATTTAATTTGTGTGAACCCTGATATGGAGCATGTACATCCAATTTCTGAATGAAATTGGAATTGACATTTCATTTCTGAAGATCACGTGTGCATGGCGGCCTTTTTAACGCTCACCTGGTCCTGCTGCGTCGCACGTCGCCCTCGCTTGTCATGGGCTCATCAGAGATCATCCTAAAAATGAATGAATAAATCATTTTGCTCAATAAATACAGCAGCTGAGCTCTTGACACGGCCCTTCATGTGATTGAAATTTTGGATGTTTGGGTCCTTTCTTTCTCAACCCAATCAAGATTCGGATGCATGTATATTAAGTATTGTTTTTAGGAAACTCACCGTCTTTGATCAAGCAAATCCACCGTTTCGAGGCTTTTTTCTCCATTTCTGTCACCTGATGGTTCCTCGCCACTGTTGCCTTTGGTTTGCTTAGTTGGGGTTGAAAAGATATTTAATATCTAGTAATATTTGAAAGCACTGACACCATCAGAACTGAGCTGAATAATGACAATATTGTCTTTCTGCTTTATGGCGGAATTGAATTTGTTCATAATTGATCAATTTGGCAACATCGAATGAAATGAATCAACACTGAACTGACACTGATGCTTCCTTACAGCAGAATACGGATTTGTGAATATCATTGATTCCGTTACTTTCTTGTTTAATACTGTGAAGCAGCTTTGAAACAGTATGTTGTTGTATAAAGCACCATAAAAAAAAGGTGACTTTACTTGATTTGATGGTCAAGTTCTGTGAAGATAGTGCAGGGTATATCTGTGGAGAAAATATAAGGCAGATTTTTATTATAAAACATGATTAATTAATAGCATTTAATTAAATTTCATGCAATAATGTTTTACACATGGAACAAGTCCAAAATCTAGTTTTTGTGTAGTTATGACTGAATTTTAAGAGGAAAATGAATGTATTCTACAGTTTAATGATACAGGACGGTATGGGCTTTATTGATTTTCAGTCTCTCACTGTTGAAAACAATTCCTCAACATGCACTGCTTTTCTATTCGTTGCATGCCTTCAAGGCAATTCTACCATGTGAATGAGTTTTCTGCAAAGCAGCCTCTCTGAAACTCAATTACCCTTCATGACTCCAGGGTCAAGCAGTTTCCAAGCCAAAATATTTACATATTCGTGTAGCTTCAGGCTTTAATTCTAAGACTACAGCATTATCAAAAAACACTCTACTGCAAGATCAAATGAATCATTAAGCATCTCACGTTTGGTGATTAAGATATTCTCTTCCTCTTCCCTTCATTCTAGTGGATTACATTCTAGCGAGCAGCAGGTGACGTGTGAAATTGAATTTCCATTTCCCTGCTGTCAATTCCGATCGCTCACATTCGGCTGGACACTTGCAGCCACCGGGGAGGGACTGGACAGGTGCACAGAGTGGGACCAAAACAAAACAAATAAATGGCTAAAACCTCGCTGTTGATCTGGTCAAGATTATTCACCCAATCAAAACACCATTTGACCATTTCAAAAGACCCCTGAACGCTTCTGACAGCACAGCATATGTTCTTGTTTAGATCCGATAACCACACCGTAAAGCATGATCATGGGTGCCGCCAACAACAGTCACAGTGTCATATAGCCATTTGTGTCATAGACAACATTGGTTTTATTTCTACTGTTATATTTTTGGGCCACTTTCTTAATAATAAAACCACTTAGACTCTCAAAAATGGTTATAAAGAACATTATTTTAGTGAAATGCAGTTACAGTAGCAGAATGAAGGAACCAAAAAAGATAGTTTGGTAGTAGTGCATGGAATTATGGCGAATTGCTTTTATTCGGCACTCAGTAAAATAATAGCCCAATGTTCCCTCTACTGTCAAGTCATTCTTAACCTCAGGATAACCCTGCGTGCTTGACTGCATATTTCAGTTGCAATGTGCCGAAGCCTAAGAAGATACGTTTAAGTGATGGAATACAATGAAAAAGCCAAAAGAAAAGAATGCATCACCCTCTTGAAGAATGAAATTACCTCTAAATTTGCATGAACCACACATGTGCAGAGGTCACTTACTAATAGGCCATTTACTAAATGAACTTTGTCTTTGTACCCATTCATGGTGATGAATTGAAACTATTTCATTTGTAGTGCTCCAATTACATTTTTGCCTGGAAAAAAACGTTCATCTATGTCCTAATTTTTTGTCAAAATTTTTCTGATGATGATCTATGACCTTTCCACAATTTCAGATGTTGTGTAGTGAGAAATTGCTTGTCAAAAAAAAACCCAGCTCAAGTAATCGTAGATTCAGCAGCCGGGCAAGGATTGTGCATTGATCCAGTCCTCACATTTCCCACCTGTGGACGTCTTGATATAAGCATGCAGTGACCTTGCTGTTGGGCTAAAGGTTAGTCATTAATGGCATCTGAAAATGCCACATTCAGGGTGAAAACTAAAATTTTTCCTCAAGTAGATAAAAAAATAAAAGTAATTGATTTAGCCATCAGCTGATATCATCCCGGTGCTATTTTTATGTCTTAAAAGACAGAACGAAGAGAAATAATAAGTAGTTTTCCTTAAAAAAAATACCATACCAGATTGCAGATTGCTGGCTAATAACAAATTACCACCGTTTTAATGCAGCAATACGAACACCACAAAACATCACAGAATTCATTGCTAATACTTACTGAGTTTTCCCTCCGAAACAAAGTCACTTTCTGGGGGATGATATTCTGAGGAACAGGGATTTTTACAAAAAACTGTCCGGATGGAAAGTGACATCGAGCACACTGGAAAAACAGAAAAATAAAGAAAACGTTTAGTTTCTTATCAAGCAAATATGAGAAAGAAACAATGAAGAAACACTTGAAATATTTCTTAATATGTTTTTTTCAATAATTACTCATAAGAGTACATTTCACCCCCGTCCATCTTCAAAATGGGAATTTATTTGATCCAATATAATTGAAGAATGCTTTAGTTTTGGGTAACACTTGTTTTGGGTGTCCTTGTTACACGTTACATGTCCTTACTATTATTATAATAACAATTAATTATGCATAATTACATGCAAGTGACCCTAAGCCAAACTCGAAGTACATGTAGTTAATTAATGCTTATCTACTTTCTGCCTTTGCTCGTCATGGGTTGTGCTTACCTGGTGGTGGGATGTACTCTCTGGGCGAGTGAGATTCCTGGAGACTCTTCAGACCGCTACCGAGAGCAGCTAACCGCCAAACGGAAGGTCATCATCTGCAGAGTGACTCACATAAAAGCTTAAATGTCAGTTGCCTTGCTGAAAAGACCAGCTTGGATGGATAGTAACCTAGCAACATTTATCTGATGAAGTTGGCCAACATCGAAGTTCTTTGAAGTGACCAACTTTTCTGGTCTTTTCAACAAGACCATGTAGGAACACGACTATTGTTTGCTTTAGGTCACTACGTAAGCAACTAATCCAGGTTTTTGCCATACTTCAGCTCCTTCTACTTTAACTTCTGTAGGTGGTGAAGATGATGATTGTCGTTGTGTGCACCTTCGCCATCTGCTGGCTGCCCTACCATGTCTACTTCCTGTTGCACCAGTTCCTTCCCCACTTGTTTGAGGAAAGGTACATCCAGCAGGTGTACTTAGGAATTATGTGGCTTGCCATGAGCTCCACCATGTACAATCCCATCATCTATTGTCTTCTCAATGACAGGTAAGGAGTTGGTTTAGGGGCAGACATTTCAGGTTTAGGGGCAAACATTTCAAAGGGTATCATGCAATCCTCTGTGCAGGTTTCGAGCTGGATTCCAGCAGGCATTCTCCTGGTGTCCTTGTGTCCCTCAAGGCTCATATGAAGGTCTGGAGCTCAAGTCCACTCGCTATCTTCAGACGCAGGCCAGCATTTACCGTGCCAGCCGAATGGAGACCACAGTATCCACAGTGATGCCGGTTGTTGAGGGGGACCATCAGGAGAATACAAATCGATGTTCCATAGATCTTACGTCTAATGGTTCTTCACAAAGCGCTTCAAAGACTGTATCAGAGTCATCCAGCTTTTATTCTAGCAACAATTTAACTTAGGAAGGAATGTAGGAAATACTTTCAGTGTTAAAGTACCAATCTTGTGAGAAGAAGGACAAATGATACACGTTCCAGGGAATGTCATAATGTGAGATACACACCAGAATAGGTTTTTAGGGCTAATGTGTGAAAACATGGTCAACATAGTATATCGGAGCATTAATACTGTCTTTTTTTACTACTCGAGGCAGCTGGCTAGAAATCATCCCTGTAAGAGTTCACCCAACAACTTACTCAATGGCATTTGCTCCAGGACCCAGTGGGTTTGTTTGGGAAAACCTGACCAGCTGATCCCCTTGGCAACGATCTGTCTGTCGTTACTGCTGGTTGTCGATGATACGATAGCCAGCGTGACGACGTGGAAGGGTTTGCACCTGTTGTTGCATATTACTGGACTACGAAGGCGACAATGTAAAGGAATTGTCTGGAAGGCAGAGCGGGTCATGATAAATATAGCACAGCAAGAGAGAGAAAAATGGACTTTGTACTAACATAGAGCTACATCCATTTATATCGCCATAATTCTCTGTTAAATCCAGAGTTTATTATTAACATGTTGTTGAGTATCAGTTGCAGCTATACTGCCTTTACAAAAAAAGACCACGTTAAATACATTTTACTGGGGGTATTTTGTTGTATTATTATTTTAAGTCTACCATTTTTTTTGTATATTTCAATAACAGTGCAATTTATGTAAATTAAAACCTAGTTTTTGTTTTGTGGCCACCGATTGTATTATCTTGATAAAAACAAAGTGTACAAACAGACATTCAGGCATAGATATTCATAGAGGTTGTGCATTGTAAATATAATGGCATAATGTCTATTTTGATATATGTCTAGCTATACAGCTTGTACAGAAGTTCCTGCGACAACTACAGATAATTTTCAGCGTTGTCAAAATCTAGATTCCAGTAAGTGCTAGTTCTACACGTTGCTTTTAATGTGAGGTCCATTTTCTCGTACAGTGGCTGTTGCACATCTGTGTACAATATCATGATGTTGTTTAGCGTGGCTTGTGCTCGCTTTACATGCCTTTTCAGCTCAAAATTGTTCAGGCTCTTGCTTTGTAGGGCAGGTGTGAGAGCTGCTTTGATGCCTGCAGAGGAACAAAAGAGTAGCGATGTTGCACCTTTTGAACTGCTCTGCAGCTGCATGCACTAGCATCTCCACTAATGGACACATGCTAAAACAGATAGAAACACTGTACTGGTTATACTTGCTTTTACATAGTGCGACAAATAACCAGCTGCATGTTCTCATCCTTTGATTTTTTTTTTACCTATTTGATTTGTGTTGTATTCATTGTCACAACCGGTTTTTTGAAGGCCAAATATTTTACCATAAACAAAAACATTTTTGGGACCATAATATGAAGGTTATGCATCTTATGATGACATGTATGAGATTGAAGTGGTCCATGTCTGTTAGATTTGAGATCTAGATGGTAAGATGCTCTAAAAGTTAAGCTGATTTAATTTTTAGCAGATACACATTTAAAATCTACAGTCTTTCTTTCTCTAGAATACAGACCCAAAATATTCACTCACGTTGACAACAGGGCCATACTATTTTTTTTTTGTCTAAACAAACACTTAAATGAGAATGTCCTCTCTAATATCAACACTCACCGACTTTGGCAATTGCAAGCAAAAATCATAGTTTTAAAACACAACCTAAAAGCTAAAAAGATACTGCATGTCTCATTCCAACTTCCTGTTACAATATGAAGTACATCATCAATGGACAAAAATTGTATGTTTAATCATTTCATGAGATTTTTAACCAGAGCTGTTCAGAAAAGCTTCTGACACCAGAATCATTAGAGACCACAAAACTTAGAAAATGTTGTCAAAGCAGATAAAAAACAATAAAGTTTTTAAAGTACCACAGAGTCGCATAGATTTCACTCAGCACTGAAATTATTCTGATTTATGTACCTATGATGTATGATGTAATTTGTTCACGTAAAAGACTTGTGCATAAAATTAAGCTTTTGCTTGTCTGTATGATGAGATTTAAATTGTATAGCCTTACACTGTTAATATTAAACTGAAATGAAGGAAACATTACTGTGTACTTTGAGGCATGGCATTGCTTGATTATGTTCTGCAAATGAAAATTTGTAATGGCTCTTGTTTGCCTCTCTGCTTTGCTCAATAAAAATGATCTGATATGATTACCATATTCAGATGCTATATGTGAGTGACCCTGGAGCACAAAAGCAGTCTTAAGTCGCTGGGGTATATTTGTAGCAATAGCCAAAAATACATTGTATGGGTCAAAATTATCGATTCTTCTTTTATGCCAAAAATCATTAGGATATTAAGTAAAGATCATGTTCCATGAAGATATTTTGTAAATTTCCTACCGTAAATATATCAAAACTTGATTAGTAATATGCATTGCTAAGAACTTCATTTGGACAACTTTAAAGGCGATTTTCTCAGTATTTAGATTTTTTTGCACCCTCAGATTCCAGATTTTCAAATAGCTGTATCTCGACCAAATATTGTCCTATCCTAACAAACCATACATCAATGGAAAGCTTATTTATTCATTATTTATAATCTCAATTTCAAAAAATTGACCCTTATGACTGGTTTTGTGGTCCAGGGTCACATATATTTTTAAAAGGAAGTATTAATTCCAAACTTAACAAAATAACTTTTGCAGCCTCTAAATGTCTTTTCTTGTTTGTTGATGTAGCCAAGCAAATATGAAATGGTTAAACTCCCCACTTAAACTAAAAACCAGTCATCATTCGTCTTAGAGAAAGAAGGTGATAGCACAAAACTGAGACAAATGGTCAGATATCATCACCATTTGTTACCTTCTATCTCTTGAAAACTGAAACCCCCTCACACCTCCCTGAATGAGAAATAAATTAACAAGCCACAGCCCTGCAATGAGAGATGCTTTGACTGTCAAATCAAAGTTCCTTGGCATTTTTCATCCTTAAAAGCTCCCTGTCCAGAGACAAACTGGAACTGTGCTGTACTTCAGATCGGCTCTGTTTTTAAAGTGCATCAGGCTGTTCAGACAACAATAAGAACACCCTGCCAAGCTTGAGCAGTGCTCTCAATGGTCCTGTCCACTGGGGAGAAAATTAAATCTGTTGGGTCCAATATTATCAAGATATGCTGCGTGCTCTGACAAGATGTCTGGCATCGGCCTCCATCAACTGTTATGCCTCTCTCTTCTCTATACAGCACATGTTCCGGTAGTGGATTGTATCAAGCTTTCATTTAATTTAGTGAACTTTTTCATTAGCATGAAAAGACATACTGCTAGACTAGACTTATGGCTGATGATACACGTGACAATGTTGCCACCAACGGGCAACCAGATGAGACACAGGGCCCACAACCGATCTAAAGTATCCATCCAGATAGACATTTGTTATCCATTCTCAATGCGAAAGTGCCCAAGCAACATTGCTCAAAAAGTTGCCCAGTGTATCATCAGCCTAATCTAGACTAGGGAGCAACAATAAGCACTTCAGACCAGTGCTACACTTTCACTACATTTTACCTATTGAGCATTGGCTAGATTTGCTGAAAAATTTAGAGACTTGTGATCAGGGTTGCCAGGTTTTCACAACAAAACCTGCCCAATTGCTACTCAAAACTAGCCCAAAACTAGCCCAATCGCATTTCGAGGGGGGCTCCCCATTAAAAATCACGTTCCGGGGGGTAAAATACACGTTTTTGGCAGGGTTCCCCTGGTAAAATTCGCACTCCAGGGGCTAAATATCACGTTATCGGGGTCGCTTTAATCCGCGGCAACAGTGATAAAGTAGCCCAATTCTGCTTGTGATTGACAGACTGTGAAGCAAAAAAATTTTTTTTATTATTTATTGACAAACATTTTATGTGTATCCAAACACATATATTTAAAAAAAAATTCAAATGTTAATGTGAGTGTGTATTTACATATAATTAATATATTTTTACATTTTTTAATTGTTTTAATATTTAGGTTTTCTACACACAAATATTTTTTTTGTTTAATATGTTTACCGATAATTAATTAAGTGCTATCTGATGTGCAAAAAAGCTGGAAATTACTATAATTAAAAAAACAAACAAAAATACTTATTGCTGAGCCTTGCAGTGTAACCAATACATAGGCAGAACATTTTTTGCAAAAACTGCACCTTCAGAGGTACAACTTGCATCTTTAAAAGGACAACTTTGTACCTTATTTAACCCTGAAATGTGCATATTAGTAGTATTATGTACCCTTACGGTACTACTATGAAACTTTTAGAGGTAAAGGATGTCCCTTTGAAATACTTGCCCAGTGAAAAGCTGTTGTACCCCTAAAAATTCACTTTTTGCTCATTTTTAGAGTGTATTGTATACATTTTAGCCCATTGTTCACCCAGTGATGGCTCCCTGGGACCTGTTGCACACAGAGAGTTGTGTTAATTTAAGTCCTGATATAATCAGATGCTACAGTGACATCTTCAGCTGAAGTGTGAGGCGGGCTCAGCTTGTCTTTGATAACCTGTCATTCAATCTTTTGAATGGCTAAATGGGTTTTAATAAAATGCTTTATGGAGTCCAAGCAGATATATCAAAGAATGCCTCTTTAACAAATGATTAATCACAGCATCCCAAGTCATCTGCATAGAATAATTATAATTATACATACTAGCCTAGATAATCCCTGATTGATGAGGCCTAGTAGCTGTCTGCATTTACAATACTCAATTAATAGTGAATCACGAAGCTCAGGGAGATAGATAGAGGCAAAACATAAGAGAATCTTCCTCTTCATCATCCTCTCTCCACACTTGGCCTAAACACAGTAATGGACAAAAGAGCAGTTACACTCAATGCATTATTGATGTGTTATGCTGAATTTTAGTGAACTCTTAGTGAATGATATCTACATATGGTCTACATATGGTGACAATACAGCAGATACAAAAGTAAAAATCCCATTAATTTTCTCCATTGAGAAATTGATTTTTAGCAATAAACTATGAACCTTTCAGGGCAGACTCAGGTTGTTAAGAGATGAAATATGCTTCTGTAAAAGCCCCAATCACAAGTCAATGTGATTTCAATATTATTATTATTAATATTGAATAATATGGCTTAATATTTTAACAATGATACCTTTTTATAGGATTCTTCGATAAACAGAAAGTTCATGCATTCTTGCTGAATAAAAGTATGAATTTTCTTAATAAAAAAAAAAAATCACACTCATCCCAAACCTTACAGCATACATATTTTCCTTATTTTAGACATTTTTGTTTTTATTTAGGATGGAATGTGACATGGACATGTTTCCCTGAGCTTCACCCATCATCATATTCTGCATCAGCATTAATATTCTGTGTCTACCCCCTGCTATAACTTCACACCAGACTTTGGTCACGCATGGGTTCCAGACATCAAAGATGTTGGAAGGGTAGCCACAATTACATCTAGGTTTGATGTTTCTTGAAGGGATGACCTGCACCCACCCACCCTTTGGACATCAAACCCACTCACTCCAGCGGGGAGGTAAACAGCAGCCAAACTATCATCAGACACAACAGGAATACAAACAGCAAAGTGCTCAGGTGAACACTGACTACATAGACTCCAAGAGACATGAAAGGCATGGAAAACAAATTAAAT